ACACACACACACACACACACACACACACACACACACACACACGTGCAGGGTGAGAAAAATGAGAGGTTCCCCACAGCTAGTGAAGAAGAGCGAATTCAGAGCAAGCGGATGCCCCGAAAGCAGGCTCTGTCCCTTTAAACTGGTTGTAGCGGTGGGGGAGGGGAACTGGCCGGAGCTGGCATTGTCCAGTTTGAACTGAGCACCGGAAGTGAAGGGGCAGGGCCAGGGCCGTGCACTGAGCCCCGGGCCATTGTCCATCTCCGACCAGGGCAGTAACCACCCCCCTGGCTGACCCTCTTTATTTCCTAGGAGGGCAGGCTGCCCCTTCAAATTAGGAGACTTCTTACTCCAGTTCCCCCACTAACCCCTCTATGGGGAAGGGAGTGCAGTTTAGGATGGTGACTCAGGAACCTAAGAGTGTCAAGAGTACTGGAGGAAGCGCTTCCACCCACCTCCCCACCCAGTCCCTCTCCCAGCAATGGGTGGGGTGGGGGTGGGGGTGGGGGCAGAATGAGAAGGCAGATGGAGGAGAGGGGAACACATTTTAAGCCTCTTTGGGGTCCTCCTACTCTCCCGGGGAACTCTACCTGGGGCCAACTTTAGACAGATTTGTAATGAAGGATTCTTTACATGGAATCAATTAGGAGCACTTCTGTCTTCTAATCGAGAGAGATCCAGAAAATATCTGAGTCGGAAACTCAGAGGCAGAGACATTCAATATAGTCGGAGGCTGCACACAGAGTTTTCAGAGATAGTGCCTCAGTCAGTACTGGAGGTTGGCTCTGCCCAGTCTCTAGCCTCTCCCTGCTCCCCTATCCAGGTTTCCTAGTGTCCCGAACTCCAGGTCTATCTAAGCACACGGGGGTGGGGGGTGAGAGCAGGTCAGCGCGAAGCAGCCGGGTCAGCTCAAAGGCCTGAGGGGGAAGGGAGGGGGAGGAGCGCTCAGGGGCTGAGGGAGGGGGAGGGCTCATCCATTTCTCCCTTGACAGGTGGTTTGTGTCTCTGATTGGCCAGCACCGCCAGGCTCACACCTCCCTCCCCCAACTCTCTGGAATGTATAATTATCTGCGAGGGGGGTGGGGGTGGTGTGTGAGTGTATGTGGGAGCAGTCACGTGGTTTTAAAACTACCCCCCCAGGCCCCCCACCTGTATGCTGCTTTGGGGACCCCCACTGTGTCTAAAGTGCAGGATCCCAAATTCCAGGGTACCCAAGACTTCTAGGGCAGAAGGTCCCCATCTCCAGATGAGCGTGCGGGGAGGGGGTGTCAAACCTCAAGGTTCTGAGAAGGGACACCCCAGAGGTGTCAGAGATCGGAGTTGTGGGGGGAGGGCCGGAGCTGGAGCCGGAGGGAAAGGGAGGGGAAAGGAGAGAGGGGAGGGGAGGGGGCTGCCCGCGGGGGGTTGGGTCATTGTCTTTTAGAATTTGGGAGCCTTTGAAAAGCCGTGGGCCCTCCCACCGCTATTGTGCCGGGGAAGATGTAGCTGCCTCTTCTCCGAGCCACCCCTTTGCCTCCGGACTTCTCTGGGGCCAGCAGCCGCCCGACCAGGGGCCCGGCCCGCGGGCTCAGCCGACGAACATGGGCTCCGTGTCCAACCAGCAGTTTGCAGGTTCGAGCTCGGAACTTAGGGGGAACACGTTAGGCTGCGAGGGCGCCCAGGAGCCACATAGGAGAGAAGTGGGGAAGTGTCCTCCCAGGCTGCCCAGAGGACCCCAAGTCGGTGCGGCCTCACGCTTCAGGGGACTGTTTCTGGAGCAAGGAACCCTGGTGTCCCAGCGGCGTGTGCGCCGAGGCTACCGGGGAAGGGGGAAAGAGGAGGAGGGACCTGTCTCGCTGTCTGTCCCTGGGCAACGTGTAGTGGGAAGAGGAGAAAAACTTTCGGGGCACCACCGGTCTCCGTGTAGGCTTAGGGAGTGCGGGAGGCGGCCGGGACAGGTCTCTTCTCGCGGGCTGCTTGTTGGGTGCAGGCTCCTGGGGTCCACCCGCGAGACGCTCGAATCTCCCTGTCCCGTCTCTGCGAGGGCCCTCTGATTCCGTGGCCCTCAACTGAGCGCCAGGTTCCCTCTCCATCACCAGGTGGCTGCGCCAAGGCGGCGGAGGAGGCGCCGGAGGACGCGGCCCGAGCAGTAGAGGAGCCGCAGCTGCTGCACGGTGCCGGCATCTGTAAGTGGTTCAACGTGCGCATGGGGTTCGGCTTCCTGTCCATGACCGCCCGCGCCGGGGTCGCGCTCGACCCCCCGGTGGACGTCTTTGTGCACCAGGTGAGACTCATTCGGTAACTTTGCCGGGGGTGGGAGGAGGTGTAGGCGCGCATATCCCTGGGTGGGCGGAGGGACTCGGCTGTTGGATTGAGATCGGAGCCCCTCATTGTGTGTACCCATCTTTGCCGTGGCACCCCGATTCTGCGTCCCCGTTTACTCCAATGGGGCAGGAGTGGGGGGCAGGGCCGATTATCAACATCTCCCCACCCCCTTCCGGGAACCCCTCTGGCTCACCACGTGTCTGTTACCTCTTTCCCCTGGGAAGGGGGCAGAGGGCAGGGAGGTGACCCCATGTGGCAGAAACTAAGGTTGTATTGTGCTTGCCGGTGGGGGGAGGGCGAGCGGCCGGCCAGGAAAGCACATGCCGGGGCCCGGCAGGCGCTGAGCGCCCAGCGCCTTTCACTAACCTCTGAAAGGAGCTGGGAGGGCGGGAGAGAGGGAGGGAAACCGGCTCCCAGACCCAGCCGGCGTGTTTAATACAGACCTCAGCCAGGTGGTCACTCAAACTCAGGCCTTGGGGCCGGATGGGTTTGGCAGATCCCTGAAGGATCCATTTGGGGCCTTGAAAGCTCCTCTACAGGAACCATCTCAGACATGGTTCAGGGATGAGGGCCTTTGCTGTCCAGTTAACACCCGGAAGAAAAACCTAAGGCATCTAGCCTTAGATTCCTGGGCCGGGCTGGGAGGGAGTTAGGTCGCAACCCAAGTTCTCAGTTAAAGTAAGGCAGCATAGTAGGAGTGAAATTCAGTGTCGCAGAGCAGGGGCTGGAGTGAGGCTGGCCTCCGGACCTATTCTCCTAGGCCTGGCATTTATGGCCCCAGACAGCCGTTGATTGCTGTCCTAACATTCCTGGCCTCAAACAAGGAGCCAAGGACTTCAGGTCCCCCTCCTCCTCCCTGGCCGCTTCCTCTCACCCCTTCCTGAATATTCTAGAGGTGTTTCCGTGGTCCTGGGATACCAGCCACCCATAACACCCATGTAAAGAAAGTTGGCTGCATGGATACCTTCCACCTTAGCAGGTTTGGAGCTGGACCTGGGGAGAAGAGATTTCTAATCCCAGGCTCTGGAGGTTGACACCCAGGCCGGGCAGGGAGGGGTTACTACAGGGAGGTTGGCCCTAGGAGCTATGGGGGAGGGGAAAGGAGGATGTAGGGATTAAGGGTTGGAGCCTGAGGGATGGTATTCTGGAGGGGGAGGGGCAGGCAAGGGAGATGCTGCGTGGACTGGTTGGAGGCAGTGGGGAGGTCTTCAAGCAGGGCCCTCACCATGGAGGTTGAGGGTGAGATGAAGGGGGAGATCCAGGGAGATGAGGACCTGCCAGTTAAAGTTGGGTCCCTGGGTCACAGAGCTACTTGAACACCTGCCAGGAGGCCTGCAGTAGGATGCTTAACTACATCTTTGCAGCAACACCCCCCACCCCATCAGACAATTATTTTCAAGCTAGTGGATTTGTCCCCCTCTTGTCTCATTTACATATGTGAATGATAACCCACAGGAAGTAATTGTGGGAGAAAGAAGGGAATTGGCCTCTTTAGATCTATTAAATCACTTTATTGCAGGAACCTGCTTTGAATGGCCCTCCTCAGCAGGGTGGCAAGCCTCCCCCACTCTCCCCTTTATCTGATCACAAAGAGATTAAAATCTCTTCTGGTCTGGAGACAGACTGGACAGCTTCCCCAATTTGGGGAGGCTGGAATAAAAGAGTCAGACCCAATATTTTCTTGTCTCCCCTCCAAAGGCTGCTATTTAGGGAGGGGCTGAGGGCCATGTATCCCCTCATCTTATGGGGTTCTGTAGTGATATCCAAATTTCAAGGAAGGTTCGGATCTATGCTTCAGCCGACCTAACCTTTGGGATCAAATGCAATTGGAAAATTATTGGATGGCATCACTTGTGATGGAAAGGAAGGATGGCCATCAGGCTTTTGGAGTGGAGTCCACTCCATGCTGTTTCAGAGGGGTTAGCAGGGAGATACTCTGGACTTAGGTCCTGGGATGTCCAGTGCCCACTTCTGTCTCTGGAAAAGGAGCTGAATAAGTTAGGAGGGAGAAGAGCTTGGAATAAAAAATCAAGAACTTATCTCCCCAACACCCACCCCTTCAATCAAAGAGGACAATAAACTGATAGAAATTCCTTGAGCCTTACCTGCTGGCTCTGTCTTTATCAATGCATGATCCTGGCTGGGCCCTGGTTAGGTCCTAAAACCCCACCCAGTAAGTATGCTAGACTAGTGGTTCCAATCCCTGCACTTGAGAAGTTTGAATATCTCTGGGAATTTAATGTAGAAGACAATGATGGAAGAATTTTTGTTTGTTAGTGGGAAAGTGTTCCCAAAGTGGAGAGAAGAGTGAAAGAAAATTCTCTTTAACAAATCTCCCCATTCTTTGACTGCTGCTGGTGATGGGGTGGTAAGAATTGCCCTAAAATAACATCTGCTCGGGAAGGGGAGCAGGGAGCCCCTTTCCAAGGAAAGGGGAAAACAAGCAATTTAACAACATTTTCTTTTCCCTTCCAAGGTTGGCCCTATTAGGTTCCTGACACTCTGTTAACTACTGTTCTTAAGCTCCTTCCCAAACATCCCAAACATTTTATGCCTCCCAAGAGTGGGTGGATGGGAGAGAAAACCCATCTTCAGCCTCAAAAAACACAAAACCTTCAAACTATATCCTCATCCAGAAGCCTATAAAGCAGAGATTTCTATAACAACTCATTTGCTTAGCCACATGTCTTCAAATCTAGAACTCTCTGCCTGTTCTTGGGTGGGGCCAGGGGAATGTAAGAATCATAATAATGGCACATGGCAAGCCCTTAAATCGGGGTTTCTTAATCTCTGCACTGTGGACATATTTTGGAAGGATAATTCATTGTGGGGTCTGTCCTGTGCACTGTAGGATGTTTAGCAGTATCCCTGGCCTCTACCCTCTATTGCTCTTTGTACTTCCCAGTTGTGACGACCAAAAGTGTCTCCAAACATTACCAAATGTCCCTGGGAGACAAAATCACGCTTCCCACTGTTGAGAACCACTTGTTATATGGGCAGAACTGGAGCAAGAAAGAGCTAGGCTATCTCCTGTTTTCCTGAGATTCACCAAGAATTTTTAAATTACCATGACTGTTTTAAGAGTTCTGGCATAACTCCCTAACCCCTAAGATTTGTAGAATTTTAGAAAGCAACCACTGGCTTTGCTTTCTTCAACAGCCCCTCAGAACCCAAATATGTTTAAATTGGCTTTTCAGGCTAAAATTCTGTTAGAAGGCTTGGAAGCAAAAGACAAGCCCAAATTTAAACAAGGACTGAGTTGGGTTAGGAGAAAAAAATTCCAGTGCCAAGGAAGAACGAGTTGAAACTACTGAAGCCACGTGGCCTGCTTTTTCTGAAAAGGGTAAAAGAGGAGGGGTGGCTAGAGAGGCCTCAGACAGGGTCTAGATTAGGATTGTAAGTTGGGGTGGGGGACTGGAATGTAAATGGGTCTTTCCATTGTAGTTTATAACTCCCAGTGCCTCTGATTAGCCATTTCATGTCTCGTTATTGATGTACTTATCTAATCCCCTCCCCTAGCTAACCTGTAAATGTTTTGAAGAGAGGAACTGTCTGGTTAATTTTCTAGTAGGCACTCAGTGGGTCAAGTAAATTAAATTACTATGAGGGAGTTAGGGGCTATAGGGTCACTAAGTTGGCAACAGGTTTGGTTTTGGTTTAGGGGCTCCTGAGAGCCCTGGTGAACCAGGAGTCCACTATCAGTTTGTGATCCGTATCTGCAGAGGCCATTCTCCCAAGAATGGAGACTAGAGAGAGCGAGGGGTGTTATCTGGACTGGCACCTAGAATAGGAGCGCACCACACAGTAGATGTGCTGTATATGTTTGTGGAATGAATGTCAAAGGACCACAAAGCTGAGCCTCTTGTTTTGGCTAATGGACTGGAAGCCATGGTTTGGTGGCCATTCATTAGTTATTTTCTGTTTTAACAGGAAGAGGCAGATTTAAAAAAAAAAAAAAAAAAAAAGGCAAGTGAATCACTTTGCAATTTTCAGAGAAAGTTGACGGACAACTACCTGAGTAAGTTGGGGTATCGTGGAATCTTGTGTCTTTTCTGAAGAGATATGCCCTAGAAATCCTGGATGCTTACTGCAAGCCAGCAAAATTTCAAATATGGGAACTTCCTACCTTGTAGTTGGTAGCATTGCTGCCCTATGATTGGTTTTCATGGCACTCTCACCTTACTGGAATTTGTTTTTGGAGAAACTGCCCTGAGCAAACTTCCATTCTTCCCTTGCTCCTGCGGGCATGATTAACAATTACTCTCTGTTAAGTCTGTCTGGGAGCTTCAGAGCAGTGGCAGGGAAGGGGAAAACCCACAAATAGGGTATAGCTAATAGACTTATTTAAAACGATTTCAGCTTGGGAGTTTTTAAATTCAGGCAGAAAATCAAAGTCCAAGGAGAGTAAATGGAATTTCTTAACAGCAGAGCACGAGAACAACCGGGTTTCTGGTCTAAAACTCCAGGATCTTAAATCCTCTTCTTGGGTGAGTGGGTGGGTGCGGGGAGGGGCGGGACGGGAAGAAAGCACGCCGTACCACCTTGATCAGAGTTCAGTCCCCTTGAAATTTAGGGGAGTAGATTACCGCCCTAAAGATCTGTGGAGATAAATTATGAGAGCACTTCGGTTCACGGTTCGGAACCAGGAAGTTACAAACTTCTCTACCGCTCCCTTCGGCTTGTCTTTGTGCGGCCGGGCCGATTAGCAGCGCCATCTGGTGGACAACTCCAGGCAGGAGCCGGTGGGTCTGGCGGTATCTGCGCAGAGGTAATGGGGGTGGGCTGCCCGCAATCTTCTAGGCTGGCGGGTTTGTTCTGGCCATACCTCTTTCCCCACCCTAACACGCACCATCAAATAAACTGCTTCTGGGAGAACCGGTGGGTTTTCTAGCCCCTACCAAACCCTGCCTCCAAAAATGAAGGTCCGGTAAGGCTATGGCACCTAAAAACTGAGTCATT